GAATCATAAATCTAGTTTAATAGATAGTAGCAGTAGGAATATATTGTTTCAGATTGACTACAAATCCTTAGCATCCTTTTACATTATCAAAAAAATGAGTAGAGAAACTGATCACCCTGTACATAAAATGAATAATGAATGTTCAATACAGAGCAAAAATTTATTCTAGTTCTTCAATACTTGATCCTTTTTTTCTGCTTATCTATGAAAATTATGCTATGTGAGTCAGAGACTCATCTTAGGGGTAGGGAATGTCAGCTTGCTACTATAGCAGAGACAACCTGTCATAGTACACAAACATAATATAAAATACAAAAAGACATTATTACTCACCAGAGATGTTTTCTAGTACTGAAAATAAATGAGAAGATCAAATAATAAGGGCATTATTTCTCAATATTATTAATCTATATGGAGAATAACCTATGGTACCTCACTCAAAGGTACCCTATATTTCAGCTACTTCATGTGGCAAATCTACATTAAAGACATAGGGTGTACCTCCAAGCAGGAAATGAAATATGCTTATGTTTATAATTAAATATGCTAATAAACAGGTTTAAGACTTGAAACTGATTTGCTGTTTCAAACATGCATTTGTATATTGATAACACGTGTGTGGCACATTTCCAAGGAAATAGCCACATGTTTCAGCTTTCATCTTCTACAGAACACCTGTGGCACATTTCCAGGGATATTGTCACACGTTTCAGCCTCCATGCATGAAGTGCCCACAAGTTGACCCTTATCTCCCAGATGCCTCCACGGGTATATAAAGAGCCCTCTGTCCCCCCAAATAAGGATTCCTCAGATTATTACAACCCACTTTAGATTACCCACCGTCCCAAATGCTTAACATTTGTATCTGTCTGGTAATGTATTGTCTCTTGCTTTAATTCTCTGTCTATCAGAACCTCAAGACTTAAGGGGCTTTATTAGTACATAGTGCCCCCTTCTTTCTTGAGATTCTTACTACTTTCTTCTGGGATTTAAACCACCCCTGTTAAACAGGCCCCAGTGTTATCAGGTACCTAAATCCTCTGCTTTTGCACGATACCTTTGAGGGATTAAACAACCCCTGATTTATCAGGCCCCTCTGTTTAAATTATATCAATATTTATTGATATAATTATTCATTTCTACTATCTAATAACCTTGTAATTACCAATCATCATTGGAATTACCACCCAAACTCTGCAGTTCCAGAGCTCGAACTCTGTCATCTTAGTTTGCACCACGTGTAGCTAGGAAGATTTACCATCTTG